TTCCTTGAGCAGAAATGAACCTCCCACAGAAAACTGCCAGCTCCTCCAGTGAGTCCTACCCAGGCATTCAATTTCTTCGGTGATCCTTCTGGCATTTCTTTCTCATCTTCTTGCCAGATGTTTCCAAGAGAAACATTCTCTAACTAGAAGCATGGGTACCTGGTTGATTTGCACAACTGCAACTAGCAGAAATACACATGGAACAATTGTAGTCATGGTTGTGCTCCTGTAAACAAAAATCTATTTGTTAAAATCTGACCCATAATTCCTGCTTTCTAGAAATACTACTGGGTACTTCTGGAGTAACAACGCATATTACTAGTTCATTAAATTCCTGTATGCTCTGAAATAACCAAATCACAGACAAATCATTAAACCAGCACGCAAGTGTTGTACTGCTAAGTCAAACTATTGCTGTCAAAAATCAACAGCAACTTGATTTCTGTGTATATATATATATATATATATATATATACATACACGTGTGTGTGTTTATACTACACAAAGCAATAGCGTAACATTTATAGCACACAGATGAATGCATACGTATCTGTAAAACTGTACCAGTATGAGAAACTAGATACAAGAAGAGAACAGAGCACAGCAGCTTGACTTGTTACAAGAAAAATAAACAGCATATGGATCTGCTAAGAAAACTTGCAAGACAGATGACCTAAAATTAGCACAAGATGATTCGCATGCAATATGTTCTTTTAAAAGTACAAAGACATTAATAAGTATCACAGTTCAAATCCTTTCCTCCTTTACTGACCTGCCAAAACCTCAGGTCCAGATTGCATGGCTCTCCCCAAAGCAGTGACATCATTAGCACCTGAAGTAACATCAAGAATGCAGCTGGCAGGTTAAACACAGCGCTCTGGGCTCAAATGTTGGCAGGTAAATAGCTTGAGTTCACATTTCAGTCAGAATAGAAAGAGAAAAGAGAGCTAACACTCTGAGAAGGGCTGCAGAAGCCGTGATAGCCAAGAGCAAAACTGCAACAAAGAAAAACTCCTGAGTAACAGCAATAAACGTAGCATCACTTTACATTGGTTTGCTGCATTCTCACTTGAGCACATAAAGATTCAGACGGAAGGCAGACAGAAACCAGGCATTACTGAAAAAACAACCATCAAAATTTCAGGCAATCTATCCCAAACAGCCTCAAAATATCTTCTTTTGCTCAGTGATTAATAAACAGAACAAAGCACAAATACCTTCAGTGTTGTTTTTCGTCCAGCTATTCCACATTTCTGTGCTGAGGGATGAAACAGTGAGAGCCGCCTCCTCACTCAGTGCCCCCATTGCTGTGTAATGCAAACAGATGCTGACTGAAACAGAAAACTCAGCACGGCTATTCAAGGTTCATTTCATCCACATAACATTTACTCATTTCGTGCACTTCTGATGCAGTGCAGAAATACAGTATACGAAATTCTTGCCTCAAACCTCCTTTTGCTACAGAGCTACTATTATGATTGAAGGGAAAACAAACATTTTCAGAGTCCCTAAATGCACATCCACTCTGTTCTCCATTCTGTTATCTATGTAACTTACGGCACAGACACCTGCAACATACTACAAACAATGTTGCACCTATTTAACAAAGAAATTTCTCTAGGCCAGGTCTTGGTTCCATTCCATCCTTCCAAACCTTGCCCAGTTTCAAAAAGTAGTGAAACAAATCTGCTTCACATTGCCATGGTTCCCACCCCTACAGCTTATTTCAGAAAGACTGAACTTTTCCTTAGGATAGCCCAGTATACCACGACATGGAAAAGTCCCTCCAAACCCACCTTTCAGCAAAATGTAGATGAGCATTCCAAATGCCATGGCAAGCAGCTGCTTTAACACCTTTGCAACTCTCCTTCGCTGGTGCTCGTTGGCTCCACTTATCTGTGCTGCTGTGTTTTCTCTTGCACTTATACGCCACGAAGCGTCATTTGCTGCTCTCACCAATCAAAAAAAGGTGCGTCTGGCAGCAAGCTCAGCCCTTAGGGCAACCACACATTTATTTAGGAAACTGCTATTATCTAGCACTGGGATCGGGTTTTCTCTTGAAACCCCAGTTTCCTATTACCCGTGGGCATTGTTGTGCATGCAGAGATGTAGTTTTAGAGAGACCTGGCATCTGACAGAGCAGATCAATGATATATGGCAATACCAGAAGGTTGCAAAACAAACAATATCGTGAAAAATGAGATCTTTGGTCCCTCGGTGATAAAGCCTTACATTACTTCTAGGGAGGTGGTCAGCATTCAGCCTGTTGCTTCAGGTGCCAGGGTCCAGTCCCTGCTGTGCTCTAGTTCCTCCTGCACTTCAGCTCCTCCTCATCCAGAAAAGGAATGGTGAGAACAGCCGTGCTGAGACTGAGAAGTGATCAGACAGAGATAACGGTGATATTCCCCATCAGTGACTGCCAGCAAAAGGCTTTGATCACAGCTGGAGCTGTGCAAGGGTGGCCACCTGGAGAGCCGTGCAGATACACAATGAGAGTGATCATGCTTTTTACGTTAAGAACCTGTAGGTCTTTAATACCTGATACACACGTTTCTTAACGCCACTCTCCACAGCCCTAAAAGCTGTCAATTCCTTTGTCACAGGCAGCTCAGAACAAGCAGGACTGCTCCCTCTGCAATGTTGTTACATAGCACTGAGGCACATCACCAGAAAGGTCCAGTTCAGTAATGGAAAAGCAGATCAACAGCCTCAAAACTCTTCACTCTCACCCCAAGAGAGCTGCTATCTTCACTTCAAGTTTCAGTTTCCCCACTGTGAGCTTCAGAAAATAAAAAACTTTTCACAACTTAATCTTTTCTTTAGCCAAAACCTAATGACAGATGCTCTAGCAACTCCGGTCAGCTTGAGTTCTCCCTCTGCACCAAGCTCTTTGGTGATGTATGGGATTCAGTGTAACCACTTCATAAGCTCAGGGAAAAAACACAAGCTGGTTATGCACACTTTAATTATGCGTTCTGATGCTCATGGGCTGCATTCCAGGAGGCTTTTCCCTTCCTTCTGTATCCTGAATGGCTGCATGCCTGCACATTGATCGAGTGCAGCCTGCGCACTCCCCACTTGCCAGGACTGGTGTTTGTGCTACCTGCAGATCCTTTGCTATCAGTCCCAAGCAGGGAGCTTCCTTTCAACATACTTCTACACAATGGGAGTTTAATCCAGTGTGAATGTGAGCAGTGGCTCTGTCGTTGGGCAATGCAGTGGGTGTGGCAAGAAGAGGGCAGCAGATGAGGCTATGGCTGTCCCCACCTGGCCTGATCCAGGCACACGAGCACTTTGCAGGCTGGAAATAAGAATCATAACCCTTCTGCAGATTGCAATGGAGAACAGATGCATTTGGCAGCTCTGGAAACAACTTGCCACTAAGCGAAACCTTGGTCCTGCTGGCTTTATGTCATACTAACTCACTCGTGGGAGGTGAAAAGAGAAAAAGCTGAGGATGCACTATAAGCTGCTGGGAGGATATGACAGAGGCAGACTCATTCCATTGACATAAGCAAAGTGCCTCGAGTTGTTATTCCACCAAAAATGCAGACACTATTTTTAGCTAAAGCAAAGTAAATGAACACAGATTTGGAAAAGCAATGCAAACAGGTGAATTAAAGGTAATGAATGAACACACAAAAGGCTGCTGTTGTTCCACTCTTTAGATAGAAAGGAAAAAAAATCCAACCCAAACTGTATCAAAGTATCTCACAGAAAGGTTAGCAGAACAGGCAAATTTTATTCCATCTGAGCCAGTGATGGGTTAAATTATCTGAGCATTATCTGCACATGCACCTGGATACCCCTAACATTCTCATAACCCCTCATTTTGAACAGATACACGGGTGTCTGCACCATTGATTCCATACACTTAGTAATGGATCTGTCAAGCGATTCTGCAAAAAATGTATTTATGCAAAACTCTCAGAGCATCAGAAGAAACAAGCAGCACAGAAGCAATTCTCCATCTGTTTTTTTTTTTTTTATTTTGGTATGCACTTTTTTTTTTTAATAAACAGAAGTTGTATTTAGCCACACCTTTTTGTATTCTTACTTTTTGAGTAGTCTTGAATCTACTGGCAATCACTAAAGGCTCTTGATTAAAATAAAGTTACCCCAACCAAGATAAAAATATGGAGACAGCAGCCCAAAGTGACCCCCCACTGGCTTCAATGGGAACCAGGGTAGGCTCTTCAAGTTAATACATCATATGCATATTAAAAGTGGCATCCTAGCAGTAATGTGACTCTGACTCTTACACTGCATAAGACTATTCTGAATCCACCTTTGGAACACCTTAGGGTACAGAAACACACTGATAATCATTCCTCTCCCATTTATTTTTATGATTTCTATTTCATTTTACAGCAAGCAGCTTATTATCTCACACAGTCCTCTCTAAGAAGCAAAATATTGTCAACAAATACTCACAGAGCTCAGCCTTATACTAGGAATTAAGAACCCTTCATGTTGCTTCAGATGATAAGAAAATAAACAAATGGCTTAAATTCCAATACAAGCATTTCTACCATGGGTAAACTTTTGATTTTCTCTTCCTCTTCCCCTCTATCTTATACAAAAAGTACATACATAGCAGCTTTAACGACATTCTACCCAACTGAAGTCCAATCCAACCACATCATCTACTCAAAACCTTTTTGTGGCATTATGCATGAAAATACCATCAACCAAATTCAGACATGGAAAGAAAACAATTCTGGCCTCACAACTGCAAGTACTTCATGCAAGCCTCTTGCATATATTTCAGAGGAGAGTTTAGCCAATATTGAAGTACACAGGACAGCTTTAAATGCATACTGAGCATTTGTGTTCACTGCCAGAACTACTGTCTAGTAGCTGAAACAAATTCAAGTCTTTTGTTCCTTTCAGACTCCAGATCACACTGTTATCTAAATGTTTTCCAACTTCTAATTACACCCAGAACATTCCACATTTTCCATAAATATCCACTGTGTTGAAACCTACTTTTCATACAGATTGAGCATATCTAATGCTTAAATAATCTCATCAATAGCATCCCATCTCAAAATACACAAGCATAATTCAAGCTCTGGAATTCAAGTTTAGTTCTTCACTTCCATACACACAGCTGACCAACAACATGGTACCAACAAAGTCTGCACCATTCAATTCAGTGATGCTCACAGTAAGTCAGCAGGAGGTAACATAAAGTATTGTAACATTTTGTAAACCATCAAGTTCAATATAGTTTACATGAAAAAATAAATACAATGTAGAAATAAATATCTTTCTAGTAAAAAATAAAGGTTTTGTATAACAATAAATAGAACAACTTGCATTCTTCTTCTGAGACAGCACACTTCCTCTAGTAAATGAGCTTCTTAGCAACTATCAGCGTGTTCTTCAGAAGCATTGCAACAGTCATAGGTCCCACCCCTCCTGGCACTGGAGTGATGAAGCCAGCCTTCTTCTTCACTTCTAAGAGAAAAGAGAGAAAGGAATTGACTAAGAATGTTTCCAGAAAATTTTTTCTCATTCATTTTTCCAGAAAAGTCCAACTGGCAACAAGCTTAAAGGACCGCGATTTGGACAATACTGAAGAATATGTGAAAAGTTACCGCAGAAGTCCTCAAATCCACAGTAGTTCCAGGATGAGTTTGAGGGACACGGTTTAGTGGACATGGTGGTGATGCACTGACAGTTGGACTAAATGGTCTTAGTAATCTTTTCCAATCTTAATGATTCTATGATAGGATACAATCAGGACCAGAGTTGCAAGGTAGTCCTCTTCTTGTCAATGTCATTATCAAGGCACCAGTTTTGGGCTATGGTTTTCCCACCAGCTTAAAGCAATCTGCCTGCAGAAGGCTGCCTTTTCCTCATGGGAGTACACACCTCCAGCCAGCCTGTGGTCAGCCATCTAAACTGCGTGTGTTTCTGAGGAACTGCAAGAGCAGGAGTCAATCAAAAAGAACAGCTGAGCACAAGCACAGCCTTCTTCCCCCACTGCAACCTGAAGCTTCTATTGAAAATACTCTACCTGTTCTGAAGTTCTGAAGGGAACTTCAGAGAACTACAGTGGGAGAAAGTACAGCTTCCTGGTTGGTTTGTTTTCTGCTTCTCAACATGGGCAAAGAACAAAACAGAGCTGAGTCTATAGAAAAACAAATTCCCATTGCAACAACAGCCAGAAATGCTCTGCTCCTTTAGAGAAGGTGTGGTTTTGTTGTTGTTTAACAAACAAACAAAACCAAAGCAAACCAAACCACAAAACAGCCTTATTATGGTGCTTCCATCAAACCTGGACTGGGAGGCACTGGTCTTACTGAAGTGTCAAAGAAAGAATTTTGACAACTGAATTAGCGGCAACTACCCAGGCTACGTGGCTGTTCAAAGTTAGCATGTACCTTGCTAAGAGATAGATACATCTTTTTTCTTTTTTTTTTAAAGCATTTAGTTAGCAATGCACTTTAGTTTACAGTGGCATACTACTGATTGCTGTAGAGATTTTCACAAGTGCCGCCATGAGTATGCATCATACCATCCCTGCTGTTTTTTTTTCCCCCTTCTTCCCCCCCCTCCCCACCCAAGTGTCTGAAGTAAGGCACGGAAAGTAACTGCAAGCATGTCATATAGACACACTCTATGGTGAGCATTAGTATTAGAAAAGCAGCTGAGAAGAGCTGTTAATTACACCAGGGAGGGCTTTGATTACTCTTCTAGCTGTACCACCAGATACACTGTTAAAATACTTGGAAAGCTTAACAAATTGCAACTTGCAATGCTTTTTGTTGTTACTTTGTTTTTGTTGTACATGCAAGTTGTAAGAAATAAATTAAGGTCCCATACGACAGTTATTCTTAATATTCTCACACACTCTTACTAATTATTCTGAACTACCTGCTCTTTGAGATTGGTGTTTATGGTTAGCAGCTACTGCAAATCCCTAACTCTATGTCATAATTATTGAAATGTACCCACATCTGAAGTGAACACCATCATAATTGCCATACAAATTGTTTCAGCCATTTAAAATTGAAATAAGTCTATTTCCATGGCAATGTTATATGCTTCTCTTTGTGGTGTTATTTGGAATACTCTTATCTTAGTTACCAAATGCTGCAGTTCACAGCTGCACATAAGGAAAGCCTTCCAATGCACATCGTGCACAACATCATTGCCTCTCATGTTAGGAGCTGTACTGAAGAGCACAGGCACAGAGCACAGTGTGCTGCTCTCACAGGTTGCAGAAGATTTTCTCTCCCCATACTCTATCATTACAGAAATCACTGTGGCTCAACGTGGCAGAAACCACAGTTTATATTTTGCATACAACCACCTGGATACTTTATTCACAAAAGCTGATCCAGATATATACACAAAGGCTGCTCCAGAAGTAATGCCTCCTGCTTTATTGTGTTGGCCCACAACATAAGAGGTGGATGTCAGTTGTACAGCAGTAGAGGTTGAACCTTTCCACAACTATTCCACATGCAGTTTTTCTTGTTCATCACTGAACAAAATGCATATCTAACAGTGGTAACCATGTCAAAAAAACAGTGCTTTGTAGCTAAGAATTTGCTCTATGAAACAGTGTTATTGTACTCCTTGTACCTGTTACAGTTTCCATGGAAATAAACAGGAGGCATTACTTTTGGAGCAACCTGTGTAAACAAGTGACAGTTGTCTATGTTTAGGAACTACCATCTGATACATCTCCACCTAGAAGAGTAAATACAGGTCAGATGAATGCAATTCTCTAAGATGAACATTAGTGAGCAAAGGGGTAAAAGTAACATCAAAAATGCAAACAGACTCTCCTTCTCTTATGAAGAGTAGAAAGCCAAAGCAGTCCTAAGGCAGCACTTTGGTGTGACCCACCTCATGTCAGTAAATCAGGTGCTGCACCTTTGCTTCCTTCAGGAGGTCTCGTTTCTGCTTCCCAGCAACAGTAAAGCTCTAACCTAGCTTCTGGAGACCAGCAATTTGTAAAATGTTGGTACACAAATGAGATGTCTATGGGGAAGGAGCTGCTATTTTGCAGCTTCTTTAGAATCTTCAAATCTTCCTTTGATTCTTCAGAAGAAATGAAATGTAGATTATTTCCTTGACAAACAGGCTCTGCTGCTTTGGAAGCAGCCCTTCATTCCTCTGTTCCTTTAAAGCAGGAACATCAGACACGGAATAGGGTTCATCACACAAACCCAGGGCAAGTCTCAACCTGAAGGTGGCTCTGAGTCTGGAGCATCTGCATTGAGTGATGCAGAATAATTCCTGCCTAAGCATTGTTTGCACATGGCTTTATTAGTCCCTGTACAGCTTCTCCAGGATCACTGCATCCGTGCAGCAGTGCACAAGTGTGAATCACGTGCTCAGCAATCATAGTAGATATCCCATGATCTGCTTGCTTTACACAGTCTGGAATTTTCCTCACTGTGCACTGTGGAATAGTAACCTGAAAACAATTATTCCATTTCTCAAAATTCCTTCTGTTTGATATTATCCCCTAATGCTCCCCAGCAGAAAATTAAGCAGCATAGCTACTTTCAAATGCAGCTAATTAGCACAGGCAAGTGGGTGAGATATTGCAACAGCCTTGGGATAAAGAGCAGTGGCAGCAGAAATTAAAGGTCCCAGTGAACATTTCCTTAGACCCCTGCATGAGATGTGGCCTCCTCTGTGAGAAAGAACCTCAACTTCTCCAACCCAAAGCAGAGTGACACTAGCTAGTGGTGCTCCATGGCCTCCTGGCAGCCACCACCCAGAGCTAGCAGTTGCATTTAGCAAACATTCTGTCCACAGCCCTCTTTAGAAGCTCAAGTAATCATCTATTGCAGCTGGGATCCTAGTGAACTATGAAAATAGCCTCCAAGCCACCACGTAAGAAGTAAGGAATGATAGAAAGCCTTTGGAATTTGCAAAATAATAAAAAAAAAAAAGTCTTGCCTTGGCAAAGCACACCAACAGGCAGATCTTCCCCTGAGTTCTACCAGGCAGCAACACAGAGACAGTATTACACAGTTTGGACTTCTATTACTTAGACAAAGAATGTCACCTCTTCAAAATGAACTCAACTAAAAAAAAAAAAAAGCAGTAGTGAAAGTAGTTGGAATACCCATGTTCTGTTTTCAGGACTGCTGTTTGGATAAGCAGCATCAAGAGATTGTTTGGAAAGGATTCAGAAGTTTGAGGAAAAAAAAAAAAGCTCACAGCCTCAAAGGTAGTGCATTGGATGTGGAACAGCAGAAAACAACCGTCAGAATGAACTGTTTCCACAACACCTGCACTTCTACATCCCATCAACTCTAGGTAAGACACAATGCCAACACTTAGGTAAAAAAATTGGCTTTGAGGATGATCATGGTACATTTTTTCACTACCTGAACAAGTTTCAAGGCACTTGTCAGCTCACCCAATGGATTGGTAGGAATTAGTGCTGTAGTTAATCAGAACAGGATACATTTCCCTGGTTCTTACTAAACTTACGTGCCTTTTGGTACACTTGTTCCATCTAGAAGTGAGCCTGGTCCATTCTGTATACTTCAGCTTTGTGAACCTCTCCAGCTCATTTCCAGCTATCAGTAGCCAACTTCATTTCTAACAATATATATCATGAACACCCAACACCACGAAGACTTGTGTGTTCCATGAACAGCACGCCACAATTCAGCAACAGTGCCACCTTCTCACAGGCTGTGAAGATTGCAGTGACAACTGAAGTGCAAAGCTCCTCCCTTGTTTTAGTACAGCCCTTCAAGACCACGTTGCCAGAAGCCTTAAGAAGGCAAACCTCAGCCAGCTGCTCCCAGCAGCACCCTGGGGTGATGCCAGAGTTTTTGGCCAGCAAACCACAGAAAATGTTTGGGAGTTCTTGGTGCACAGCTTCAGAAGCAGCTCTGTGCTCCTAGAACATGGGCAGATGCACCACTACCACTAGGTAGATAGGGTGGGAGCTGAACGAGGATAGCAGTTCTGTGTACTGGAACATGGGCAGGTCCACCACTGTCACCGGGCAGGTCAGGCAGGAGCAGCACAGTAGTGAGCACCTCCGTATCAACAATCAGCTCCAGCAGTGCTGCGCCACCACCCTGCTTTACAGTGACTCCTGAAAACAGTGCTCCGCCCATAAGAGCTGTTCCAGTTGCATGCTCTCTTCAAGCTACATAGTCAACCTCCAAATGCACAGTGTTTTCCTGTCTTGCTCCTCTGAATATCTTACAATTCACATAATAGCACTCTGGGCACCTTTAACCACTTACAGCCAAATGGGACATCGCTCACACTGATGCCCACTTTAGAATACAGATCTCAGAGCTTCAGAACTCATCTTGAATAGCTATTCAATACTCTTGGCCTGTGCTAAGAATATTTTCCACCAGGTATTTCTTACCTTGAGTTTATGAATGAACAGTATTAAAAATATATGTATTTGAAATGTCATCTTGATGTAAGAGATGAAAATAAAGTTCTGTTTCAAACCCACTCCCTAGAGATCAGAGGATAGCATCCAAGTATTGCTAGGATATGACAACCAAATCACAACAGTTCTCACCCACCTATTGAAGCTTATTTGCACTCCCAGAGGTTCTCAGCCAAATGACCTTGTTAAGTCTGCCATTCCTATCCATTTCTTACAACAAAGGTTTGACATAGGATTGCCCAGTTCAGTCTCTCACACATCCCCTTGCTTCCACTCCAAATATTTCCCTACTTCAGAAAGGAGATGATGAAAGAACATACACTAGTGGGCTACTTTACATTACACAGCTGATGTACGTCATGCCAGCTTGCATATTGCAAAAAACATTTTGACACAGGCTTAAGCATAAATTCAGTCAAGTGATCAAAAGGAGGATAAGGATAAAGCAATTCGGTACATAAATAGCCTAGCTTGTTCCATTTCCTAACTCACAAATAGAAGATTTGACACAAGTGATATGGTTTGCATTTTTTTTTTTTTTTTCAACTCTGTACACAGGGACAGTTTTTTTGTTGTTAGAGATTTAGTGAAACTTTCACCGATACCAATAAACCAACAACAACTTCCCTTTGGCAACGCACAGCAAAATGCTACTTGGAGTTGCAGTGGCATAATCGAGGTTGAAGATCCTCCCTCCTTTTTGGATCTTCCCTCCCCCCAGGTAAAATCCTGAGAGCAACCCACAGCAGACATGACAAGACACATACGGTGCATCGCTGAAACTCTGAGTCATGGCACGGCCACTGAATCAAGCCCAGCATTGCATTCAGAAGGTTATGCATTTAAAGAAAACAAACAGAAAGGAGACATTGTCAAGTTTCTGAAAGTCATATTCAAACATGCTAAAACAAACAATCAGAAACAAACGAGAAAAAAGAAATTCCTGGAACTCCTCTCTATACTTCATTTCCATATTCAGAAATGAACTAAAAATTATCTTTTACTTCTGAAGGCACAGGGAAGATAACCACACAAAAAATTGTCCTGTAGAAATGTATTTCTACTGGAACTATTCTACAAATGCAGCAATATATTTCTAAATGCATGCTCAAAGCATCACTGAGCTCATGCAGGTCATTCCATAGACTTCAGCAGACAGATATAAAGTTCATTGAAAAAAAACCAAAACAGGCAGGAATGAAGCAAATGATATAATTTCAAATACATCTAGTGGGCTAGAAACATTCTGAATACAATTAAGCTCTGAGACATTGTGCCAGCCAAGATGTTAATAACTATAAAAAAAAAGCAACAAAAACAGTGGCTGATTTTCATACTTATCAAAATAAGGAACTGTTGAGAACCATTAATAATGTGGGTGAACGCTGTCTAAGCTTCCCACACACAGCTCTGCCAATAAGCTTTAATTTTCAGCTGCAACAATCCTGCTATTCCAGTCTGGAGCTCCTCCAGAGCAGAGAGATTTAATCCAATTACACTATGAACTCGCTCTGCAACACATTCAACATGAAAAGATCAATATGTAACATCATATGTTATCTCAGTTGGGCTTGCCTGGACCAAGATTTTCAAGAGCTTGAGATGAACCCATCTTAATCCTCAGTCTAAAGGATACTTCTGAAGCAGAAGTGAATATTTTCAAATACAGATTTGAAGAGGAAGACTGAAAGCAGGCTTGAAAACTCGTGGCATAACAGTATTTGCTACGATCAGTGAGAAACATACATTATGAAAAGGCAAAAACTGTGGATTGCTTCTGTGTGCACGCACGTGCAAATACTTTTGAGAGGCTTTAGAGATTCTCAGAGTATGAAAGAAGCCTGGAGACAAGCATCTCTAGAACTGTTGCCACCATACTGCCATAAAAGCTCATCGGTAACTCTCAAAGTTTGCTCATAGAAGTAGCACTGCCTTTCCTAAAGAACATATAATTTCTTAAGAGCAGGCATACAAACAAATTGCTTGTTGAGAACAAGCACTTCTGTCAGTACTGAGACATAGGCTATTCAAAGCATTTATTATCAATGAATCCACTTGGTTCACATAAGGAGTGTTTCACTGACCTTCGAAGTCCACATCCCCAACTAATTTGGTCTTTCCAGTTAGAGGATCATGGATATGATTGATGCCTACATCTATCACAGCTGCACCTTCTTTGACCATATCAGTTGTAATCAACTTCGGGATACCTGCAATCATCAAGATATTTTATTAACATGGCCAAATAATCTTAGGCCATCAGTTCCAAATTATTAAGTTTGCATGCACCCCCATACCTCTCCTCCCTCCCGTACTGAAAAATAATAATATATATTTCACTTAATAATTAAGCATAGTGAGAGAATCTGATCTATGTCACCAGCTTATTTTTCATTCCTGTAATATATGAATGAGATAGATAACAGGAAAAAAGTATCCAACTCATATCTACCCAGTGTCAGCCCACTCTGCAAGAGAGAAGCAAAGACTTCCAAGAACAAAATCTTCAAGTTAATTCCTGGACAGACTCAAAAAAACGAAGCAACTCCTCAATTGTTATGGCAAATAAGTATCTGAGTGCAAAGTCACTACATGCTATCAGAGAGTAGGTAATATAAAGCCATCAGCTAACATCTGCATGTTATACAATTATATCTTAAATGCAACATCTGCAATCTTCTTTGTGCACCTGCTTTAAAAGACTTCCTAAATTTATTTTCTTCTATGCAGCCTCCCGCTCTGAAAGACAGGAGATTTGAACTTGGAAACAAATTCAATTTTTGCTTTGCTTCTTGGGCAAGCAGCAAGCTCTATGTTATCTGAGGAACGTCTGCCTCAGTAAGACCATCTCCAAAGGGGGATTCTGAGCTCACCCTGCTGCCCTCCCCCTGAGGGAGACTTCTCTGAGGTGGGGAAAAAAAAGAAAACAAAAAAAAAAAACCCAACAACAACAAAAAAACACATTAAAAAAAATAAAGAAAAAGAAAACACACCTGTATGTTTTGAGACCAGTGTTACTGGAGGCAAGCACTAGCATATGAGTGCTATGACTCCACTTGAAGTGCTGGACCTCGGCCAGCTTGTCATTTGAATCCAGGCAATAGAAGAGCTTTTCTTTGCTCTCCATTTCCCACTCCCCCATAGCACACAGCCTTGAAACTCTGATTTTAATGTTGAGCAAACCAAGACCTCATTTTTTTTTTTTTTTCCTATTCTGATGATAAGATCTGGATACATCTCCTTCATCACACTCTTGTGCAATCAATTGCAGGCTGACTGCTAACTGGATAATGCCTCCGTCTGATGGGGTTAACGATCTGTGCACGATAGGAATGGGAGCATATTAACGGAAGTTGCACAGTTACACCCTTTGTAAAATGGCTTGATAATAGGCCAAATACTTAAGAGCAACAAATAAACTAACCCTCAAAGCAAATGAACAGATCCATTTACTTAAGCCTGCTTTGCATACCAAGCAGGGAGAGATAAGCATTGGAGTAGCAATTCCTAAAATGCAGCGATTGAACAATGTGGGATTTTTTTTTCCTTTCTAGCTTTGTAGAAAACAGCGAAGCATGCTTTAAACAAACAAGCAAACAAGTCCCATAAGATCCCAGTTTAGGTATAAGGACTGTAAAACAGTAAAATACTAGAAAGCAAACCAGCCACAGGCTGAATCAAGCAGTCCAGGAATTTAGCAGTTTCTATACAGAAGGGCCACAGGTCATATCCAGAGGGATAGGGCAAGAAGGAAACTTTAGCCAAAAAAAGCAAAAGCTGTGTGGCACAGAGCTTAGGCAGCTCTGGCTGGAAGCAGAGAACAAGAAGGAACTACATCAATAGCTACAAAGAAGAAAAGCTGCACAGCCAATTCTCTACGGTGGAAATACACAAGAGACAACTTCTGAAGATGGGCATTCTCAAAGCCTAGAGTAAAAATGTGAACATCTGATTTGACTTATTTGACAGCCATGGATGAAAGTGAATAAGAAATTCCTCACAGATAGATAATAGGAATCTTCCTACTATACACACAGTACACATAGTTTATGTAGCAAGGTTTTGGTAGTAAAAGGCTTTTCCAATGTATTCTCTCTCACTTCCTTTGAGAAGAGACAGAGTAGCAGTGGGCAGGGCTGCATGCTGTTTGAAAAAAGCCCAGAGCTGGACTGTGTATCACTTCAAGTCTATCTCACATTGCGTAATAACTGTTGTATCATGCTCCTCTTACAAAAGACACAGGGAGAATGAATGAATGAGAAGAATGAATGCAGCTAAATTGCTACTGAAGTGTTTAACTACAAGCCTAACTGATGACAAACTGTTCAGCATGTAAAAAACCTTGAACTATATTAAATTAGCAGCATGAATGTTGATATTACTGCTTTATTCCCAAATAATGCACATGTTATTTTTCATTCACAATGAACCCACAGTTGGCTAATCACATGTGGGAGAACTGAGCCACTTCTTGTTCCTGACCTGGCACAAGAAAGAGATGACAGTGCAGTGAAGCCCTGAAGGAATGGACATCTTGCTTCAACAGGAAGCAAGGAGCTTCAGACACGTGCCTAGCTGTCTTCCTCTGGAAAATAACTTCCCAAGATTACATTTCAAGGATGGTGAGGAGGGAGAGAAGGAGCACAAGAGTAATTATGCTCATATTTCTCCCCATTTATGATCCTCCTAAACCATACAAGAGAAGAAAGATATCTCAAGTTGCACGGGATACAGAATTTTATCAAAGACTGGTTTGTTTTTAAGTTTAATTTTACTAATATCTATTGATGGAAATAAAAGTAAAACCAAAGATTGCTCAGAAGTAGCACTGCTTATTTCTTTGTCCTAGAAAATCCAAACAAAGTATTTCACAGGTCTTTCAGAGCCTCTCCTTCTGCCACTTGTCATTTTTCTTCCTTTTTACATGATAATTATAAACAAACAAAAAAACTCAGCCATGAATAACACGTATGTGTTACCAAAATTACTATTTAATTTGCTATGTTTGCCCTTAATTCAAACAGCAAGAGAAAGATACCATTGTCTTTTATGAATGGCACCTCCAGCTGATTTAAAGAAAACTTCCTGCCAAAAATTAGATGACTCATGATTTTTGCACAGTACAGAGAATGTCTTAATTTACATAATTACACCTGTATAAACTACACACCAACTGGTTCCCAATCTGGAGTTCACTCTGGAGTCTCCCTAAGGGAAAGGCGTCACACGTGATGAAAAACAGTTTATGAGTCTACAAATACGAAGGACAGGAACGAAGTGCCAGATCACCTGTCCATCTTACAAGAAATCCTGCACACTATAACGCCCTTGGCAAGCATGAGCACCATTTATTTGGTAAAATACATGAAATAGCAAGTAGTGCCACCAATTGACTCCAAGCTTTTTTTGGGGGGGGTTTTAAACACTGTTTTTGGTTGTATTAACCACATTACCTGCAGCTACTATGACAATGTCAGCAAGTTGAGTATGGATCTTGAGCTGTTCCTTTGGTGTGTGCCTATGCGCAATGGTCACTGTAGCATCTCCTGAAGCATAAAGATTGACAATTAATAAAAAGAAAGGGCCTATATAGCAATTACTTTCAAGTACAACTGACTCATTTTGGTACACGAAGGACAGTAAAGAAAACCATCAAGTCTGCTTAGTGATGCATCACTTGTTTCAGCATCGGCAGAATGCTCACAACATTTGCATTTTACATATATGAAGAAGCACTTACTCTTAAAAACTGACAGAGGATTAATTAATGCATACGCTTCGGATTGACATTATTGCTTACTGATATTCCCCCTTACAAGAATGAGCATGGCTGATAATCTGACCAACAAGAGAAGAATACAGCCAAGGCTCTCCTTGGCCTGAACTATGAGTTTAGTAGCTATGACAACAATGAGACTCTAGGGCCAAGAGCCTTCATAGAACCATAGAATCACAGAATGATTTTGGGTTGAAAGTGACCCCTTAAGACCATCTAGCTCCGATCTCCCCTGCTACAGGTAGGGATACCTCCCTCTAGACCAGATTGCTCAAAGCCCCATTCAGCCTGCCCTTGAATGCTTCCAGGGAGGGGGCATCCACAAACTCACTGGGCAACCTGTTCCAATGTCTCACCACCCTCACAGTAAAGAATTTCTTCCTTACATCTAGTGTAAATCTACTCTCTTCCAGTTTAAAATTATTTCCCCTCATCTTATCGCTACCTGCCCTTATAAAAAAATCCCTCCCCAGCTTTCCTGTAGGCCTTCTTCAGGTACTGGAAGGCTGCTATAAGGTCCCCCCAGAGCCTTCTCCAGGCTGAAAAGCCCCAGTTCTCTCAACTGTACTCCTAGGGGAGGTGTTCCAGCCCTCTGATCATATTCATAGTCCTCCTCTGGACCTGCTCCAACAGCTCCATGTCCCTCTTGTGTTAGGGGTCCCAGAACAGGATGCAGTACTCCAGGTGGGCTCTCACAAGAGCAGAGCAGAGGGCAGAATCACCTCCCTCAACCTGCTGGTCACATTTCTCTTGATGCAACCCAGGATATGGTTGGCCTTCTGGGAAGAGCACAATGCTGGCTCATGTTGATTAGATATTCAAACAACTCTTCCATCTAAACAACAATTGCAAACGAGGGTCAGACAGCCAAAGCTTTTTGTCAACTGGAACATCAACAGATTTCATAGAGAAGAAATGTTTTTGAACTCACATGCGTAACACAGTCAACATCAGCATCAATATTTACACAATCTGTACAATTTCAGTCGGATATTTTCCCCACACACTCAAAATATTCTAAGTAATCATTTTACTTAGGTCAAATGCAACAACAGGAAAAGACTAAAAAGATACCGGGATTTTGTAGATGCCTGACCAGCTCTATCTCCCGATAAAGCAAAAACTGCTGAACCTGTACTTTATACCAGAGTAGGAAGTGTTTGAAGTTATCACAAGTGTAAGACCACATCCTTTCGGGTAAACTCAAAAGCTCTGGGGCCTGCTCCTGCATGCACCCACATTGCTTGGCACAAAGCTACAAATAAACCCTGCCAGCAAGACATGAAAAGCCTTGTGCAGATCAATAGAGATGCTGAGGAAAGACCACTACACACGAAACAAAATGTCATTGGATTAGTGACTAAAATAACATATAGAGTCCAACAGCAAGAGTGGTAGTCTCTCTGAGACTGCTCAAAAAATGCAAAGATAAAAGCTATTGAAAGAGATTGTTCCCAGATTCTAATGCCATTCTCCATCAACTATTTGTTCTACTCAGTGTTCTTGTGTTCATCTCCACCTTCCATCCACCATGAACTCATAAGCCACTTTATTAACCATTAAATAAAGATTTTTGCCATCTCAGACATTAACACCACAGATGCTTCCTCTGGAATGTGTCTGTCTAATCTGTGCCTCTTATCTCATTAACTCTCTTCCCCAAGAATCTCATCTTCAATCTGTCTGCGCTCTGAATTCACTGCTCTTTTCCCTTATCTCTCATCACTCCTCTCCTTCAGTTATCACCAGTCCCTTTTCAGCCTCTGCAATCATGGAGAAGTAGATGAAGACATTTGCAGTTAATGTCAACAGGGAAGTGCATATGTGCATAAACTATTTCTACTATTTCTATAAACATAAGGGGAATTCCTAGGAGTTAGAAGTCTTTCACCGATTTTCTATAACTTCCCCAAGTCCATTGAGAGCTTGGAATAAACAACTGCCTTCAAACTACCTCTGCACTTTCTTAGGGTAAAAACATCTCAAGCAGTACATAACGCCTGCATGTCTACTTTCCTTCCTTCTCCCCTCCCCCCTTTCCGCAATATCACCTATTGATATCCAAAGTAACTAATAATAAAAAAAACAAAACAACAAAACTCAAGGGGAACAGGACAAAGGAATGGAATAAGGATAGAATAAAAAGGAGAAAGATATCCTGCCTCACACTGCAACCCCTACTACCAAAACTATACATTACGAGGTTCTTTTGATCTCTTATACTCTATTCAAAGGCTCAGAGTAAACAGTTATCCAAAGCTATGTATGTTCATAGCTTCTAAGCAGTAAAATCAGTACTATTTTCCTCTCCAGAGCTTAAGGAGTCTGTGGTCAGCTCCTGAAGCCAAAGAATTGCTCTCATCACTATTAAGGAGAGGTGGGGAAAAAAAAAAAAAAAGAAAGGATTGTCCCTACCTTCAAAATAGCAGTTCACCTCAGAAAGAGTGGGTTTTCCATTTAGGTGTGATCATGCCAGAACAAAGAATAAGTAACTTAACTTTGATAATGCTACTTCTGATAGAAAAAAAAAAGGATATTAGCAAATAAGGCCTAGCACCATGTTGCTATGTTAAGTCACTAGTTCATAAAATAAGAAGTGTCTTGATCTGTCTATGGATAATAAACTGTTTTGTAAGGAACCCTTCCCTATCTAATCACATATTGCCACCTGCAGGACATTGCAGCTGCAACATAAAAAACATCACAGACGAAGACAGACTGCAGCTTTTCATTTTTGCTTATCATCTCCAAAAAACTGAAAACCTATCCAAAAACATACCCTTTAAAGGAACCTTTAAAGATAATCTAGTTCCAACTTCCTTGCCATATGGAGGGATTCCTTCCACTGAATGCAGCTGTGCAAGGTCCCAATCACAGAATCAATCAGGCTGGAAAACATCTTCAAATTTAAACAGAACTTGTTTCAAAAGGAGGATAAAATGATGACATAACATCAGAAAAAGCCCAGCCCAGAAACTGACCTTTTCTGCTGAGAAACCATCAGCAAATGCATTAGCAATTAATCTCCTTGCTCCAGGTGTTAATGTCATACAAGAGAAAGGCTTTCCCTTTATCCAAATGCTCTGGTGAGCTTTATTTTAACTAGTTCATTAATTGTTAAAATGGAAACATTACAACACCTGACAACACAAACTTACCTCCAGGCCTTTCATGCTCTCCATCAGTATGCAGAAGCATTGAAATGGGCATTCCAACATTCTTAGATCTTCCAGCTACAACAATATTTTTCCCAAATGTTTGTATTCCTTATGAGAAACCAAAACAGAACACAACATTTTATTCTTCTATTTTGAAATACTAAACCCCTTCTTCTCAGTGCCAAAATAATAGCAATTATTTGCTATTGTGGACTGCTGACATCAGTGTGACTTGGAAACCCACAAGGCTGAACTTAAAGTATGAACCCACAAAATAACACTCAGCTTTCACAGCAGAGAAACAAAACTGGCAAGTAATTGAGTTTTTCTGAATCATCCTTTGTAGGCTAAAAAATTCTCTTTCCTGACCACAAAGTGAAATCAAAGCTCTCTTGTCCATTGGTAGGAGCATACTGTACTCAGAAAATAGCACCTATTTAATTCATCTTTTCCCCTTCTAGTAACCAACTGAATATTCCCATTTCTGTTCTGCACTTTCCCCCTTACCCTACAGGGATTTACGCATTGCAGTCTTTTATTTGATAGCTATACAGGAAGTAAGCACAACTCCTTAAAATTCTATGCAACACTAAACGGTAGAAAATAAGTTACTATTCAAAATGCTCAAAGTCTTTGACATGAACTATAATCTACATGTAATATTTATAACACTGGCAAAATATCCCATTCTCCTTGGCATTTCCTTATTATTTAGACTAATCCTCTAAATACCGGTTCTTCCTTGAGAGCAGTACCTTAAAGACAGCCCACATCTTTTAACCCACACCTGACTCTATCCTTCATTCCTTCTATGTTTAATAAAAAGAAAAAATAATTAAATACAGATGAATTTCCTACCTGTCCGCTTTATGATTTCCCAGACAGCAGCAGCAGTGGCAGGTATTACAGATGGCTGATCGAGACACAGGCGTCCAATGTTGATAATGTGAAATCCATCCACATCCTTTTCAGGTGCGATAGCATTACAAACTGTCCGCTCATCTATATGGTCTGGGAAACATTGCTTTCCAATTACACTTCTTTCAACTGTCAAAGGTCATCACTCCTATCTGAATCATTATACAGACAAACACACGAGTTCCATCTAGCTAGAGTAATCGTTTCCCCTCGAAGATAGAATTTGCAACCCCAACCATCAAAGTCTACTGAAAATTAAATGACTCCATCTGTAATATTGCTAATGCTATAGATTCGGTCCAAATTATAGGCTGACACTAAGCTGTGAATGATGACAATAACTATAAAAGTAGAAGCTTAAGCAAGATAGCTCTTGTATGTTCTGCAAGAGTTATCATCACATGGCTCAAAAATGATTTAAAAAAAAATCATAGGAAAATTTTTCTTTTAGTGCATAAACGGGATCTATGTCCTAAATTTTAATCAAATGTAAGGAAATAATGAACTGATTTTTTTTTTCCTTCCAGTTTTGCTTTCAGTTTCCACTTTACAACAAAAGTGGCTTTAAGAATTTGTTAATCATTGGGATCCAGTTATGTCCTACTTCAGAAAATTGAGAACACAAATAATTGTTTGAAACTGCTGAGCTCACAACATAAAATATGGCTTAAATGGTGATACCTGATTATGAAAAAGATATGCATTAGCAAGTGTCATCTCTGAAAAGTTACAAAATCAAGTTCAAAGCCTGCACAGATTTGGACACTCCAGGGGAAGAACGCTGTAAACCCGTATAACCTATAAAGGAAATTCTGTTTGAGAAATATATTTATCTAGTGATATTTCAGTCAATTTTAGTCTACTGCTTCATTGTTTAACAGTTTCCTAAACTTTTATTAGAGTTACACTCAAAGTTCAGTATCATCTCAGAGTTACTATTTATCTCTTATATGATGACAGAACTTCCATTCCAGGCAAGATCTCGACAAATCTCACATTGAGGAAGGTTCAACCTCTACTATCATACCACCGTTATCTGCCTGTGACACTGTGGGTCGACACAATAAAATAGGAGGCATGACTTCTGCAGCAGCTCTTGTTAACCAAACTTGCACGATGACACTGGCCATCACTTGCCTAGCTTCTCCAACATGCTCTCTTATTTACACAATAAGCACATGCTCTCCAGTCTAGACATACTAGAAATGAAGTCCAGTTCTCAAAAGAGAAGACTGATGAAAATAAAAACAGGGAACAAAAAAAGATTCTGAGAAGCGGAGGCAGGGAGCAAAGAATAAACTGTTCCAAAGCACAAAGGGACATGATGTTTATCCTAATTTATCCCACAATTCTCTGCTGCTTACAACTAAGAAAATGTCAACTTTTTCACATTCTATCTCAAATCAACATCAAACATGTCTTCCTATCTTCCAGGCAATTTAAAAGATAGAGCAAAGTCTCCATGAAGCCATTACCACATCAGAAGTACAGTGCTCCAGAGGGGCACAGAAAGGAAGTTTTCCTCAGGCAAAGATGGTAATCCTCAAAGTTAAGTTGCTGCAGCTCACAGGACTGAAAGAACAAAGCTATCCTCTGCTTCTATTTTTATTCCAGTGTTGATCAAAAGCCACACCTGTGTGTGGCTTATTGTGAAAAATAAATAAATATCAACACTCCACACAACAACCCCCCTATTGTGGGATTAGCAGACACTGCTGATTAGGTTTTCACAACGTCTGGGCTTTGCATCCTTCTGTTACAGGATAAGTCAAAAGGATTTTGGAAAATCAAGTACATCAGTTTTCTGCCCATCTCTCACTCAAGTTGCATGGAGGGCACACAGTGTTGCTGCAGAAATAATAATTCAGTAATCAAAGTTATATCCAACATCTATTGTAGAAATAATTTCCTGAAGATTTTCAGTTCATGATGGTTTGGATATTTACCTTTCCTAGATAAGTATACAAACAATGTAACACTGAAAACACACTACTATTCATCAAATGCCTCTAAGGTTTTAGTAAGGTAGACAGCAGCCAGCCCTAAAACAACAAGTTTCACAGGCTGAATAGACTATTTATTCCTAATGTGGTTATGGCAATAGACATATCACAGTTTGTAGGGAAGTCACTACCTACCTGAGAATTTAAAACATTAAAACATATCAGCAACAGATACCTTAACTGACTTAACTAGAATTATGTTCTGATCCTTCCTTGTGAAACGTTCAACAAGCTTAAAAATGACAATTTGCAAGGCTCAAGTCCTTTACTAAACTATTAAAGCAGACCGCTCAGGAGAGGATTGCAATGACTTTGTATTATGTCACCAAAAAAAGAAGTACTCCTGTAAGTGGTACCCAACCATTTGATGGAGTAGCAGTGCAAATAAGATGTATACAATACCTCCCATTCCCAGAGGACACAGCAGTGGATTGGGAATCCAGATGAACTATGAACTATAATCTGTGAACTATGCAACACACAGAGAGGAAGATTTTTATCCCCAGGTGCTTAACCTTTTGTATAAGTTCTTAATATCGAGGACAAGTCATTAAATCACCTGTTTGCCCTAATATGTTATTGCTGGGATAGATGTTTCCCAAACCAGCCCACCCTTTAGTTGTTCCCGACTTTGTGCCCAGGATTTCCTCCTCCTTCCTTGTGTTCTACTTCCACCTAGTGGCTAACTCACTGCAGCAGATGGCAAACTTGTCCACAATCAGTTTTCTCATGTAATGACAGAACTTAATAATGAACACTAGTTGTTATTACAAACATGAACAAAGCATATGCTTCAGTTCCTCCATGAACTCAAAAAAAAAAAAAAAGACAGTTCCTGCCCTTCAGTGCCCAGAAGCTCCTGCCCAGTGCCCACATATCTAAATATGTGATAAAAGACAAGATTTGGAAATAAAGAATAAAGGGGGAAATTCAACACATCACCCAGTCTATTACAATGATTCTCTTAGCTTCGGCAAATCCCTAAGAGAAAGCATACACTGGTTTAATGAAGTTAGAGACTGATATGAAGAGCTACAAATTTTAGCACTAAGTACCATATTGCCACCTGCTGCCGACTGATTCATAAGAGTGAGATTATTGTACAGAACTGGAGCGGGGAAACAATCGACAGGAGCATGCTAGAGGCTTTCAAGCCTTTAGCACAATGCTTATCTCAAATATTGGTGAAAGCACACAACAGGCAAATGAACATTTAGGGCACAAGCAAGAACCACTCTGAGAAAGACTGTCCCATTATCTGCTAAGCAGCATATCTTGGCACAATGCAGGGGAGGAAGACATGGCAAAGGTTTTGGTATTCAAGACAAAATACTGCAATGCGGTAGGAAAAAATAAAATAAAATCAGAGAAGTTAACTTGACAAAGTTAAGAGAAGACTTGCTATTTATACAATAACAGAAAAAGACATCTCTTCATCAAGCCCCTCATTATCTTATTTGCTCTCTTTCTGGAGCCTCTAATGTCACTATGATGCACTTGCAACAGCAAAAGTTGTCAAACATTTTCCTCTTACATGGATCATATGTAGGGAGTGAGATAACACCCACCTGGGAGAGGCAGCTGAACTAATACACCACTAACTGTTGAGTCCTTGTTGAGTTTTAATGTCATATCCAACAGTTCTTCCTGAGAAATATATTTAGGCTTCAGTATGACCTCACTAGAAATTCCTGACAGAAAAAGAAAGACACTTATTTGTATCAGGAAACTTAGGGAGAGCTTACTCACATTGTATAAAAATCTGTTAATGTTCAACAACTGTCTCGAATAAGACTCTCTGGTCTTTAATGCTATATTTCCAGTTATCAAGAGCAATCTCACAACAAAGTTAGTAGTTTGACACAGCAGCTTCAAAATTAAAACAAAGAAAAAATATTTGGAAATCAATGCATATAATAATTTGTCTATAATGATTTGCCTATAACCACGCTCTTGAGAATTATGAGTAAAACCAAATGGACCTAGCTTTGCTAGTAATGCTGGCACCGTCTGATGGCTCTTCTACTTCTGCAGAACCAAACTTACAACAGATTTTTCAAGTCACAGGAGAAGATCGCAGCTCCACCAAAAGCAACAAAATGCTTTCTGCTTAAGCTGTGATGCTCTTCCATTCTGAGGTGATTGAGTCATATTCCAGGTAATCAGTCCCTCAGCTTTACTATTTGATTTATATCTGAAACTCTGCCATTGACATACACGGTTATGAAACTTTGTTTTTGGATGAGATTGCCTGGCTTTACTGCAGACCTACAGCATCCAACAAGCCAGAAATTCCATGAGATGCACCACATACATATGAAGGTAAATATGATGCTATGAAAAAAAAAAAGTTATTCCCCAGCACTCACGTTTCATTTGCAGTTTCTAAAAGTAACAGTGCAAACTACCTCCCAATAACATTTTAAGGTGCACCGTTAAATTTATGCCTTCCATGCACATGACATAAGAATTACTTTATATATCACTGCAACTTTTTCACCTTAGCTAAATCAGAGAAGGTGAGGAAGAAAAAGGTGTGACATAAGATGAAGATCCAAAGGGGGTTCTCTTCCCCACTTTTAGAATATTTTAAAGAACAGTGTCCTGTGCTCACCAAAGGAACGCTTATATTACCTAGTACATACCTACAGCTGCAGCTGCTTTTACCTTATTTCTGACATAGATATGACTAGCTGGGTTGTCGCCTACTAATATGACAGTGAGATGAGGTCTCTTGTTCCCACAGGATATCCACGATTCCACATCCCTTTGAACTTCCTTCAAGACTTGTTTAGCGAGCTTTGTCCCTGAGATAATGGCTGCTTCATCACTAAAAAGACAAAAGTACACACAATAGTCACATCTGGACAGTCCATAACCATGGCACTTCTGAGCACACCATCCACTGCATTAAATACCTGCATATGCTTTGATGCATTAATTTGATAGTAATTCCAATACTACTTGAAAAATACTCATGCAGTTTCCTGCATGAAAGACAGAGGGAAGCTGAAGAAAGAGTCTTGTGCCTCAAGCTTGCCTCAGCACCTGCCACCCACCCCCTTTTCCTCTCTTTCATTGCTGTCATCAAGACCCCAAGCACAGATGTGGAAAGCCCCATGCACCCCATCAGTCTGCAATAACCGAGAAGCCTCCAGCATGCACTGCTTTCAAATGCTACGATCTGCCACTGCTGTATCACGTAATCCAGCCATTAAACACGGACTTTGTTGGATGGGAGACAGAAGCAGGAAGGTATGCAGGAAAGAGATTGGGGCAGGAAGAAATCCTCAAAAGTACCCAAATCCCATTCTGTGGCTTCATTTATGCAAGTCTTCTACATCTGACTGACAGATGAAATCCAGGCTACACTTGTATTAATTACCACAGAGCAATTCTATGAAAACTTTGCTGCACAGGAAAAAAACAAAGTATTCAAAAACCACACAGTTCTGGACCAGAACTAAGAGTACCCAACTCTCGCATTTTTCCTGCTGCTCACTCTCTTCAAATAACGTAACTTTGGAGCAATAAAATGACAATCATACAACACAATAAATGAACACATTGTTGACCTCAATTTTACTCCAGCTTTAGATACATCCAAGGTTATCTTTGGCATTACTTAACTTGATTTTTTTTGTTTTTAAATCAATACACGTGTTTTTATTCTTTTCCTAATGGCCTACTCTGTACTTTCTCATTTTCCACTTCTCTCCTTGCTGTTAGTCACGTTTAGGCCATGTATAGCATTGGCACAAGACATTTGTTTCCATGTACTTCTTTGCCAAATAAGTAGTTAGTGCTTAACAATGTAGCAATGGCATAAATGTTTAAGGATAGAAAGAGCTAACAACCTTCTGGTGCCAAAAAAAAGGTTCTCAATTCACACACAAAAGTCAATAATACTATTTTTGCTCTAAATGCATGGCCAAAGTACTCATTCTTCTCAACTTCGGGCAGCTGATTTCAAGTGCCTGCCTCTCTCTTAAAGGTATAACCACATACTCATTTAGTAGGTCTCAAAGATCAATCCAAAGCAAATGAAGAAAACTTCAGTACTAAAACAAAAACAAAAAACAACCCAGAAACAACCAGCCAAAAACAAAAACAAACAACCCACAACCATGCATGCACACAAATAGAGAACACTCTCTTGCATCCTACAAGCAAGGATACAATGCACATTCTCTATCAGAGCCAGGAGCCTGTCAGTAGGCTCTCCCATGCTTGGATCTTTCTGAAGATAGCGTAGAGCAACTTCTACAAGCCTAAGTGACATGAAGTTACAAAGGAGAAAATAATGGAAACTCATACAGGGGTACCCCAGATACCAGGGACCAAGTCAGTGCCACGCATTAGTTCACACATGCAGAAATGAGCAAGCAACATTCCATCTTTGCATTAAGGTGTGCAACAGTCCAACTGTCTGTGACCTATTCCTTTTTGATGTTACAGTAGAGACACTCAGAAGACACAGAACGAGGTACTAACTTAAAGAATAGCTCTATTTTTTGTATTCCTAACTTTGAGGTGCTTTGGAGTGAGATGCTAACGAGCAGACACATTCACAGCAAACAGCCAGGAGAGCAACTCCCAGTCTCAGAGAGCATCACAGTGAAAATAAAGTACAAAGAAAAGGAATACTTGGCTGAAATACCAAGCAAGCACTTTGGAGACTGACCACGAACCATGGAGCAAGTGAGACAAATCTTTGGAAAATGGAGCACTTCAGGGAGAAACAGATAAGAAGTTCGTCAAGTAATGCATTCTCCTCAAAGGAAGGGAAGAGCCAACCTAAGTACAAAGCCATTCATGGACACTTTTTTTTTTTTTTAGCAGAGCACAGTAGTTCTATAAAGCTTCAGCAAGCCAGTGCTCCATTTGTCATGAGTCACGGGCGATTAGAAGTGCTCCACATACCCACCAGCTTGGCCTTCTATTGGTAAATGGCATGACTATACCCAACTTGTCAATATGGCTACCTCGAGAACCATTACATGTAGCGACCTTTTCATCAGCCTTCCCTGAGTACCACCTCAGTGGCCAAGCACCCAGGAGTTTGGCCTCATCTCAGCCAGTATCTAAATCTTTACAAATCTGATGGCAACAAATGAACAAACAAACAAGCATACAATAAATATTACAGTACTTAGAATACAAAGATTATGTTCTTGTACACAGATACGTGCTACCAATCTGCTGTCTATTTGGTTAATTGCAACAGCAAAGACCACCTTGCATTTACCATTAAACATACATATTCCAGTTACACAAACCCAGATCTCTACCAGCACTTAAACAGTCAAATGAGGACCACTGAGAGATGCCCTAAATTTATTGTCAATACAACTGATCTATCTCATCTGATTATCATGACAGCAAGCCAACATACTATTCTTAGGAAAGATTTCAACAAGCAATTAATTCTGGCAATTAAATTTATCTTTACATATTGTGCTCAATTACTTTGATATCTGTTACTTGAACTTTGCCTGTCACATCAAACAAGATAAGAACCTGTGCTGGCATTTTGCCTCTGTTTTCTAGGAAGGCAGCAGTATTTATTATTTCTCATCATTACTATTAATTTCTAGCAGGTTCAGAATTTTGTCTAGAGTTCTAAGACAAACACAGAAACTCAGAGTAGGTGGAAATGTGCACTATGTTTTGTCTAACAGAAATGCATTTTCAGCTCCTAATAAAAATCACTCTGGGAAAAAAAAAAAGTTGTACAACCATTTGGAAGGTAGCTTACAAAAGCAATAAAACTTCTTGGTCAGATTAAGAATGGAATGACTTCCTACCTTTACAAGCCTGATCTGTATTTGGTTTCTCTCCTGTCTATGTCATATTCTTTGGGGAAAACAAGCCTGCGCTTTTGGAACATGCAGAATGAAGTTTTGAGCTCTATATTGCCTTTACTATAAGAAAGTATGAGACCACAGTGCAACAACTTGCAATTAACCTGCCACATAATTGCTCACATCTGCATATGTTTAGGAGCACAGCTAAACAAGAAAAAAGGCAATTCCTCAACAGATGGCAAGAACATCAGTTCAGACATTTGAAAAAATTTTACTCTTTGAAAGAGCAGTGGTGGATTGGCACCAGCTGCCCAAGAAAGTGGTGGGGTCACAGTCCCAGGGGGCATTCAAAAACCGTGGAGATGTGATGCTGAGGGATATGGTTAGCAGGCATGGTGGGGACAGCCTGATGGTTGGACTTAGAGATCTTTTCCAATCATAACGGTTCTGTGATTATGTGCCAATGCTTCTCAGGCTTAAAAATCTCATTTAGCTCCTTGAACAGAGACAGGACTCCAGAACTACAGCAAATAGTAAGGCATCAGGTGCAGAGGAAGATTGCAGTGCAGCAAGTCAGTCCAGGCACTGTAATCAACATATCCCCACTGAAAACAACCCCGCGTAGCTTCTGAGCGGTGGGACAGCAGCCAGCACCGTCACTGTGCCCTCCACCCCACTGCATCCATGGGTCACGTTCTGCATCCTCCTCGGTTGCGCTGCTGACGACACGCGGGGCATCGCAGAGCGGTAAGCTGCGAACTTAGACCTGCGTCTACACGGCAAGCCTGAAAGCAGGAGCTGTCACAACAGAATTTTTTTTCATCCTGCTCACACTTTTTTTCCCAATAGAAGCATCCCTAACGCTGACCCGATGCAAGCACCCGCTGGTATCCGAGCTGGAAAACAGCAGCTCCCAGCAGGTGAGCACAGCAACAGCGCGCGTTCATCTAGAAATACCGACATTGCCTAAAGAAGAGCCCCATCCGCCCCGGGGAGGGCCCGGCCCGCCTGGGAACACGAGCACCGGCAGGGCCGGGCCTCCCCTCCCTTCAGACAGCCCGAGGAGGAGGAGCAGGGAGGACGAGGAGGAGGAAGGCGGCGTGCCGTACCTGGCGGCGCTCCGAGGGACGCTGCCGGCATGGCGGGACGCGAGGCGAGGGAGGGCGGCCCGCCATCGGCACAGCGGAGCCAGGCCCGGCCGCAGCGCGGAGCACGGGGAGAAGAACGCGGCCACGGCCATTGCGCTGCGGCGAGCGGAAGCGCCGCCGCCCGGAGGGGCCGGGGAGGGCGGTGCCGGTCGCTGTGACGGGCAGCGGAGCTGGGCGGTGCGCTCGCTACAAGACGGGCATTGAGGCGGTGGAGCGTGTCCAGAGATGGGCGACGGAGCTGTGAGCGGTCTGAGGAATAAGTGCTGCGGGGAACGTGTGAGGGATCCGGAGACTTAGCCCTGAGAGAACGTTACTTCATCACTAAAAAGACAGAAGTACACACGATAATCACGTCTGGGAAACTCATAACCATGGCATTTCCTTCCAGTACTGTTTGAAAAATAGTCACGCAGCACAAACCTGGCAGGGGAAATAGGTATTCCCCCTCCCAGACCTGCAGAGCAGTCAAGGCTCTCCAGCACATACAAGAGCATCCTGCCCCCCACTCCCTGCCTTCTCAACACACGTCACCAGCCTGCTTTGACATCTATCACGTGTAGCCCATCTGGCTGCATATCTGTCAGATCTTTGTAACCAGTTCTAGACTGTTTACACGTAGAAAATGTTCTTTTTCCTGCTGCTTTTAAGAATGGGCATAATAAACTTCACAAGCATAAGAAATACTCAGGGTCCCTAGGACTGAAGGTAGAGCACTGGATGCCTTTTCCTAACATGTACCTCATCAGGCATTCACAAGTGTCTCTGTGATGATTATTTCTTGCATAAACAGACCAAACTCAGTCTTCTATCAAGGCTCAGGCCTTGAATACAATCTGCGCAGTTCCTGAAAGGATGACTGCTTTTACCCTTAAAGGACGTGTGGTTAAGTTTGCTGATGTGAAAATGTGAATTCAGATGTGATACTAAATAACTTTGCTCTATGCTACTATGTAAGCAAATAACAGGAACTGTTACTTATCAAATAAACTGTATTTTGTGATCAGTGAATTCATAACTGGATGTTTTTCTGCAAACGGCTTCTGCCGTTTGGGTGTTTTAATTCCACAACTAATTTCCAATTAGACATTCCAATGCTAACCATTAAATAAGGTTCTACGCATTTCCTGCTCACAAGTGAATTTTAATTAGAGAAGCCACAATAATTCAATTTCTGTGCACACTTTGTTTTCACTAGAAGCTGAACTCAAGATTTATGTAAAACGTTGTTGGTGAGTTTCATATTAAAGTGTCCAATGATAAAGATTTGGGACTTTATGAAAAGCACTTAGGAATGCATTTGAAACAGAAGAGTGGTGGCAGCACACTGAGAGATACTAGTCTGACAGTTTTTCCCAGAATTATGATAAGTATACACATGCTTTTATTTGTTTGTTTCCATTTTTCAGACCTTGCGCATGAGTACTGATTGCCTGCCTCGCTGTACTTGTTTGTATTGCAAGACATTTTATATTAAATTTATGTGATTGGTTTGCAAGAGTAGAGCTCCCAGCATCCAAATGCTCAAACTCTGTTTTATGTACATTTTCTCCCTTAATGCATTATCTTCAGAATTAATGTATTATCTTCAGAACATCAATACACAGCTTAAATACATTTGTTAAGTTTGCAGTTAACAAAGCTTTGAAAATAAAAGACAATAGTGAGGTATGTTATTGTATGGCAAAAATAGACTAACTTAAACTGAATGTAATTTTAAGCCATGCTACCATCAATTTCTCTGAACGGAACTCATGAGAGAACAGAAAGATATAGAAGATAAACACTCTAAACTCTTGTAATTCTAATGGTCAGAAGGATATACTATTTTCTTTTTCATATATGCTAGAAAATAGACTTCAGAAAAAATAAAGATATGAAAATATGAGGGTGCGTTCAGAAATGTTCATCATAGCATATGAGTTGCAGTGTTTCAAAGCTCTATAACCATAAAAAACACTCTCCAGTCTCTTTTCTGAATGTTTTTTCTCCAAAATATTTTGCGTAAAGAAACAAAATATGCTTTACAGTTCACAAACAATAGAGAAACACGAGAGAACAATAGGCCAAGACCATACCTAAATTCAGAAATAAACTGCTTGAAAATTTCATTTTATATGATCAATGAATATAAGGATGCTATAACTATGAAATACACAAGAGAACTTAGCAAAGCAGATGATGATAACAAATGGAGAATAAACAGAAAGCTTACCTCTATCCTGGGCTCACTTACAAAACTTCAACGAAGCAGAATCCCAGAAAAGATCCTTCCTCTCTGGCAGTCAGCTCTTAAATGGGTCTGGGAGAGGTGCAGCAAGGTTCCACCCCTTCCATCAGCATAGCTGAATTGCCTTCACCTGTGCTCCTGTGGCTGACTCATTGCTTGCCTCAGGTGATCAGTCAGAGGTTCAGGCCGTGACTCAGCAGTTCCCATACACATTTTTAAAAATGCCAACAAATTACTTTATAAATTAGTTTTGAAAATTATAAATTCCTCCAAGGCTGTCATTCCATACCCTGTTAAATCCTCTGGTTTCTTTCAGGTAGTCAGATCAGTCAGCAAAGGTGCCTCTGCCCACTCACAATACCATAATCTGATTTATTGTCATGGTTTAACTTCATTTAGACAATTGTTTGGAGAGGATTGACAGCCATGTGGAACTGCCTTAGGACATGAACAGTAGATCTTATTGAAGCTAGATGTTCTTGGAATATATACAGACAATCTACCCAGCAGCTTAAAAGCAGCACTCATAACTACTACATCTCAAGACACTGTTTGGTGCCAGCAAAACTTTTGTTGTTGGCAGATACTGGCTCTTGCCAAATGAAATAAAAGTTACTGTATTTTCCTGGAGAAGGAAAGAATGTTTAAAACCTGCAGTAGTTTATTCAAAGAGTAAAACCTAGAAGGTATTTAAGGAAAAGTCCAGAAGTGCCCCTAGGTGCTTGGAGAGAGATAGAAATGTTCTTTATAGGTTTTTTGCATTGTGTGTATACACACAGTGCTCTGAGGTGTATTCTCTTAGTGTGGACATTTACTTCTAAAAGTAACACCACAAGGAAAGATGAGATAGGAGGAAACAATCACGGGATGAAGAGCTTGCCATCTTCAGATTTATACGTCATACTTTATTGCTATTTTTAAAACATCACAAATATTTGTTTAAAAATTCAGATAGTTTTATAAAGTCCCAAAAGCTTTAAAAACAGAACTAAGCGAGCAAAGATTGTAGTAAAAAGTGCAGAGAGGGATGTAGGGGGAACAGTTAGGTCATGGCCTGAGCTGTTGATTGAGCATCTGGTGGAGGGTTGGCCCAAGAAGCACAGGTGCAAACAATTTACCTATGCTTCCCACATGACCAGAATAAGCGAACCCAGGGTTTGCTTCTCCCCCTCTCCTCCCCGGCGTTTCGGGATTTATTTAAAGGTTAGCCTCTGACAGGAGAATGTCTTCTGGAAGAAGGTTACTTCTTGAGGTGGTGTGCTTTGCAGGCAGAGATCCTTATCACCAACTGGGTGAGTTGCCTTTTTCTTTCTCTATGTATGTATAGTAACTGTTGAGTCACAGCCTGAGCCATTGATTGAGCACCTGGGGAAAAGAACCGTTAGCCCTGGGTGCACAGGTGAAGGCAATTTAGCTGTATGACCAGAAAGGGTGGAGCCTGGCTGCACCTCTCTTAGATTCTCATTTAAGGGCTGACCCCTACTCTGGAAGACTCTTTTTCTGGAGGTCCCTTTTTTGTGGAGTTTTCCCTGTGGGCTTAGATCTTCAGTGAGGGGTGAGTAGATTTTTTTTCCTTCCCTTTCTATTGAGTTAGTTTCTCTGTTACTACGTCTCTTGTGTCGGTTTTCCATTGTGTTGATCTTCCTGGTTGTTATGATGTGACTATTGCTGTTCCCTGATACTATTAAAGAACTTACTGGAAGCAGTTTTGCTCTTCACAGGACAAATGAGGGCTTTCATGGAAGTGCTAGTAGGGTATCTATCTAGCTTTTTTTTTCTGTTATATCTGTAATGGAATTCCTAATACCTTGCTGCTAGCATTCATCTAATGTCTGTGTATGTGTAGCACTCCATTTTAAATAGCCTTAAGATTTGAAGCTTAAAAGGAAGAGTAGCGATCTCTAATTTTCCTCGCAATCAATCGTGCTTGGAAAATAAGGGATGAATAAATATGAAGCTACTATTCAATTACAGAGACAAGCAGGAAAAGCACAAGATAAATTAAGTTTTTTCACTTACTCTTTTGGGTTTTCAAAATTACTAAAGTAACCTCTTTAAAAAATCTTTTAGTGAAATGCACTAGCTTTTCATATTGAAGCTTTTTAACTAGCAACGTCTATAGCATCAGACTAGGTATTTTCCAATTCTTTTTTTGTCTGTACAGTATTTTGAGTATATTTTGAAAGTATTTGTCTAAGCATAGGTAGCATTTCTTTTGAAGGACATTTTTGAGAGTGTTTTCTGTTACTTATACTTTTTCAAGAGCAGGAGAGGAAAAAAAAAAAAAATCCAGAAACTAACTTTAGGATTGTTTAGGATTGAAATCACTGCTGTTCATGAACTGGTATTAACAACAACAACAAAAAATAACGTTGGGGATTATCTCTTTAGTAAATTCTGGTTCAACTTCTCAACAGCTGTTGTGCTGGAAGAAAGATCATGCTCTTCTCCATCAGTAATCTGATTAAATCTCTCATATAGTTCATAGATTCTCAGTCATTTAAATTAAACTAGATGCCTTCAGACATTTATTTATTATTATTGCTTTCACCCCATGAGCAAGTTAAGTAAGAATACGATAACAGAATCAGATAAACTCACGAAAGTAATGTGAATGTTGCTTCTTATGAACTTTATTTCTGCTTTCATTTTCTGAAGTACTCACTGTGCTCAAAAGTGATGTAAAGCTCCTTGATGAAGCTGTGCAAGCCCTCATCCAAAAACCTTACACTTGCTGTTTAACTCTTGAACCACTAGTCAAGGGTAAAAGGGAAGAATGAGTTTGATAAAAGCTAAAGACAGAATTGAAATATAGCAAAGAGCTTTAGGTCTAAAGGAATTTCTTATTTTCCTTATGGAGAGTGAAACAGGCTTTTTTTCCTGGCTGGAAGAAAGCA